GAAGCTGGACAATGACTTGGAAGGGATGATTGGACTAGATCAATTTCCCAAAATGGAATAAATACAACAGTATTTATTTATTCTGGTGGTGCAGAACCCCCTCCTTAATTTTATTGATTTTTTTTTTTTTTTTTTAGAGAGAAAGGGAGAGAGAGAGAAAAAAATCGATGTGAGAGAGAAACATCGATCAGCTGCCTCCTGCACACCCCCTACTGGGGATCAATCCCAAAACCCAGGAATGTGCTCCGACCGGAAACCAAACCGGGACCTCTTAGTTCATGAGACATCATCGCTCAATCCACTGGGCCATACCGACTGGGCTAATTTTAAATCATATAGTGAGAAAGTCGTTCTTCTCAATTCTCTGTCTATCCTCTGGATGACAGGTAAAACAAAGTCTTATTTTGGTGCCCACATGTATTTAACTCCACCAAACATTTGCAATTTCGCTCCCAGGTCTCAGGCTCCCAGAGTCTTTGGCAGCCAATAGCATCACCTGGACTCCCTCTTCCCTGATGACTTGAGGCATTAGAAGAGAAGCATGTTGACTTGAGGAACATTTTCAGTGAATGATGGAGATGCCATGACTTGAAAAATCAGTTGGGATCAATTTCTTAAAAATCAATCAACTTGTCTCCTTCTTGCTGGGAGTACAGAGAACCAGCCCTACTCCTTCCCTTAGAGTTGAAATTGGAATTTACATATATTGTATGATTTAAGGCAATGCAGGGAAACATCCCCCGCTCCACCCAAAATACATCTTCTAGGGGACTAGACCACTGTATTCATGTATCCTCTGTGCCTGGCTCAGTTCTTATATATCAAGAGCTCAAAAAATAGCTGCTAATAGATAAGTGAAGGTTAAAAGATACACTTCATGTTTGATAACCCTGCCTCCAGTGTGCCTTACCACAAGCCCAGACATTGCTGCTACATGTACTGTTGCTGTGGACAACCCCCTACCAACCTTACAATTCGCCCAACTCCACAGTGATCACTTGTCTAAAGTGATGATCCCCCCATTTCAGAAAACTAGAGGCACAAAAGATTTCCTTTAGGCAAGGGGCTGAGGAGGGATGCGCCCTGAGGATGAGGGAAGAGAAAGCATTCGTTTTCTGAAAGGACTCAGAAGTAAAGAGGAGGTGATCGTTACGTTTACACAGCACAACCGGAAATGGAATTTCATTATCATCTAGCGACTTTAATCAGACGAAGCCAGCTAAGCCAACTCATATTTCTGGCATGAAATATCTAGTTTGGCTATCTATCCTGACCAAATCAATAGAAATTGATGCCAAACTCTTATTTTATTGTGTGGTGTTTTGGCACAGACATACTATTCTTGTTCCAAAAAAAAAAAAAAAAAGGTACTTGAGTACAAACCTAGCAGCTTCTGGAATGCTAATACACACCAATGACCAATGAAGTTGGGAAGGAGTAGAATTTCAAGTTCAGGGAACAGAGAGCACAGCTTGCAGAGGCTTAGAGCCAGAGCTCAAACACGGTGTTTCATGTACAAAAACCCAAGTCCGTTTTCTCAGAGTGTAAATGTGACCTTAGTACAATTAAATGTACAGACTCTTCCCAAACAAAACGCCTAATCCAAGACATGCAATAGAGGGTTTCATGCATTTCAATTTCTGTCTGCACCCTGGGACTTTTGAACTTAAGAGCACTATGCCTGTCAAGCCCTTTCCTACTGGGAGATTCTTTCTGTGAAAGCAGGACCTCTGAGTTCTTATTCCGGTGTTCCTGTTGGGTGCTGAGGAGTTCAGAACAGCTACGACATAACGTGGTGAAGGCCAGGGGATGGGGACGAGGTGTTTTCCAATGCTGTTTGTTTCGTGGGCAATGCATGTGGGGTTCAGGAGCCGATTTCACGCTGCGTTAGGCTTCGGCATGGAACCGTCAACAGTGGAATAAAGCGCGAGTCCGATGGATGCACAGGTCTATCAGTGCCATCGCTTATAATTTATATCATGGACACTCAACCCCGATGCTGATACTGGCGGCCTGAGGGTTGTACCGGGTCGGCAGATGTAATCTGCTTGGCCTGCCGCGTTTGGTTCTGTTGATAGCATCAACATATACAACTCTAGAGGTTCTTAAAACGTTGAGGATTTCTGGATTCTTTTGAAAAGTTAGAAGATTCGGCCCTTGTTGACAGATGGAAACAATAGGCTGGAACTGATCATTTTTAGGTCACAATAGTCTCCTCACCCCCCTTTGTCTACACTGCTCTGCAAGCCGGGTCACTTTCCACTTATCACCACACTTGTCCATGTTACTTCTGTCAAACAGAAGTATTTCTCTGCATCCATGACTCTAGCAAAGTAGGAAAACAAACAGCAGGCAGAAATGGCAGTTTCAGATATAGAGGCCACCTGCTTGGCCACTGGAGGCATTTGAGTTTGCTTTTCCAGTCTAAGAGTGGCCCCTGACTTCGTTCCTCCTCAGGCAGTGTGCAGAAGTACCCCTCCCTCCAGGGGTGCGTGCAATGTGCAGAAGTACCCCTCCCTCTCCTTCTCACTGGCTCATACCCCACTTTGGTGTAGAATCACTGTACTTAAAACTTTGAAGGAAATTCTCATCGAATCATTCATGCATTCCAATTATTTATAAGTATCTAAATTACTGTGTAGCTTGGAAATTACTCTTTAGAAAGATTTTCGGCAAACTAAATAACTATGCCCCTTGTCTTAACACCATCCTGGAAAAGAGCGGATACTCCTTTCTTTTTTCCTTATTGATTTTAGAGAAAGAGGAAGGGAGAGGGAGAGAGAGAGATAGAAACATTGATGAGAGAGAACATATACTGGCCGCCTCCTGCATGCCCCCAACTGGGGATTTGGCCCACAACCTGGGCATGTGCCCTGACCGGGAATCGGACTGGTGACCTCTTGGTGCATGGGTCAATGCTCAACCACTGAGCCACACTGGCAGGGTTATACTGCTTTTTTAATGGTCCCAAGTGACAGCATTCCCAACTTGTGATTAGGTTACATTTTAAAAGTCCATTTTATATCGGTTGTTCGCAGCTTATAATTTCTTTCTCTTTAACAACATCATAAATGTTGATGATCTTGCTGAGGTTACCCACGCATTTCCTTTTAACCATGCGAAAGGGATTGTGTTAGAGTAATTTCTCCTTCAAATTACTCAGTATGCTCTTATTCCTTCGGTAAAGTCGATGTATTAAGTATCAGAAAATACCGGAAAATTCCACTTCAAGGTATCCATCAGCTAGGATTGGGATAATAATCCTAAAGGGAAGTAATCCAAAGGGAAGTAATATTTTCTCAACTGATACCTAATGAGGGCTTTCCCCTTACAAAGGGTGACACAGTGGGGTTTTCAGCACAATCCCCAGAAGCCGAAACCTGGAAACACTGGTCTCCCGTGAAGAGACAGGATAAAGGATGCAGGACCCCCGGTCTGCACCCAGGAAAACTGCAGGTCCTTGATGCAGACACCAGCAGCATGGTGAGGAGGGACTTCCAGCTCCACAAAATAAAATGACATGTGTGAGTTCTGTCCTCTAAGTGCTTATTGCAAAGACCTTGTTTCCCAGAAAAACAGCAGCATGTGGATAATAACATGACACTGTGCCCTCACGTTAGCATTACTCTAGCCTCTGTGGTAAGAACTGAGGCTGCAGTGATTACCCCTGGTCAGCGGTGGGCCAGGCCAGCTTCAAACACAAGTGCCCCAAGCCACCTCATCTGCATGACTGTTTTATGGGCGATCCCTCCTCCAATGGGGGCTCCTGTATGTGCAGTCACTTGCTTAAAGACTCAGGCAAGTGGAAGCCAGCAGCCACCTGCCACCTGCCAGGCACTGAGGAAAAATCTGACATAGTTTCTGTTCAAGTATGGCCAGCTCTCTAAGGTATGCAGTAGTTAGAACTTTGCTTCATGACTTGTGAGTTGCACTGTGAAGCTCTTATTACCCAGAGATCTTGAAAGGAGATTGTAAATGTCCTTGAGAACTCCCTGGGAGGGGAATGGATGTGCAGAGCCAGCTCACATAGGTGGAGTGACTTGCCTAAGGGGGCACAGTGAGCCAAGGGTAGAAGAGAACAGGGTCAGTAATACCTGAGTTCTGGGTCGTAGCTATAGACCCAGAAACCATCGTGTTGGGCAGTGTCTATGGACATTCCTCCTCTAAGTCAGAGATGTGCTATGGGGAAAGAGAAGAGTGGGCAGAAAGGAATGTAGTAGCATTTTCCTGCAACTTCTTGGCTCTGTTTGCGTCCACCAATCACATACACAAATGAGTAACCATTTCCCATGCAAGAGTACATCATTATCTCACGGTCATAGGAAGTAGAATCCTATCCTGCAAAGTCTGCACTCATTGGAAACCCAAGTGTCAACTGACAAAATATCAGGATGAGGACATCTCCCACCCCTTCCCCCTTCTCCCAAGAGCGTAACAGGTGACGGGGGTGGGGGGAGGGGCCGGGGTGGGGCAACTGGAGAAGGCAATGAAATCATGCGGGTTCACCAGGAAAAGAGTGTTGATGGCAGCACAGCTGGTAAGTGTGCCGTGAGCATTACCTCTGGATGAGGCTTCCAAGAAGGCTCCCGCTCAAGTCCTGGTGGTCCTGAGAACAAGCATTCTGGCATCAATAGCTAAGAGGCTGTCCAACCAGATGTTATCTGGGTGGGATGAGAGGGTGAGAAAACAGACCTGTTGTACGCGCTTGTCAATGAGATCGCTGTGGTCAGGGAGGCTGGCTGTGTAGTGTTTGTTTAGCAAGGCGCCTCCGCAGCCGCGAGGCAGACCAGATTGCGTGCTTGCTTAAATCTGTTTCCTCTTGTGATTGGTAAAGTACACGTTATTATCATTCATGCATTACTAAAGCCGCCTTTCCATCCTTCTGAAGGGGCTTTTTCTTTTCTTTTCTCTAGAACAGAGCATGCATCCCACAGAAACCTAAAGAACGTGTCCTTCGAAGCAATCTTTGAGCGCACATTTAACAGCACTGCCTATGGTACCTGTGACCAGACTGGAGATGATCAGTGGCAACACCAACATCTGTAACATCCTCATCAGAAGCTCCCCAGGAAAGGAGAAGTACTTGACTTCCCGGTAGCTCATTTTGTAAGATCGGAGTCCAAATCCAAGGATTGTACCTGAGGGGGGGAATAAAAGAAGAAAAACTGAGTCTTTTTGAAACTGAGGTAACAATCCTAGAAAAATGAATAAGTATTTGCCTGGAGATCATTCCTGTCTAACAAGAGTACTTTACTTAAGCAACAAATATGTGTGCTGTTTGGAGAGAAAAGGGTGTGCCTGTCTTCTCAGTCAGTCTGAAGGGCGTGGCTTGAACCCAGGACTTCAAGTGGAACTTATAGAAAAAAAACTTCTGGTTTCGGCAAACGAAAAATTTCTTTGTCTGAACTTAAATGCACTGGAAGTGCCTGGCCGGTGTGGCTCAGTGGGTGGAGCGTCATCCCATGGACTGAGAGGTCCCGGTTCGATTCCCAGTCAGGCCACATGCCCAGGTTTGAGGCTTGATCCCCATTTCGGGGGCATGCAGGAGGCGGCCGATTGATGTTTCTCACATCAATGTTGCTATCTCTCTCTCCCTTCTTTTCTCTCTTAAAAAAAAATCAATTAGAAATAAATAAATAAATGCAATGGAATCAATTTTGACATGGCTCAGGACAGAGCTGCAGAGACTAGGGGTATAACTGGGAGACAAATGATGTGCCCCTGAACAAGGCAGTATAAGAAAATAAAAGCCTTATTATGATGAAGTTCCTTTGTAACAACACATCTTAGAACGGCTAGCATAACTACTTAGAAAGGGTGGTATAATTTTATTTTTTCCCCAAAACACAAAAGAACCCCTCCCCTTGTTCACATTGCTAATCCATTTTCATCATTTCCCTGCCTGCACATCACGCTTTCTTTCTGTCTACATGGTCTTGGCGTTGCCTTGGCGACTGTATTGTACAGATCTGTTAGTTGTTGGCAAGAGAAGACTATGAAATGATCACAGAGACTTTTCCCCCAAAATTTTCCCTGAAACTTAGGAGAAATCAGGGGAAAGAGAAAGTGATTTTCTCTTTAATTTTCCTTCTGCTCCTGAAACTTTACAATAGATTTTTAAAATAATAACTCTATAGGTAAATCAAATCGAACAGGTTACCTTTTAAAATATTTGGAAATTAACAAAGGTAGTGAATAAATTTACTACTTCTCCCCTTTCCCTAATTTACTTTCCTTTCCCAGGAAAATTTAGTTATTTCATTAGTGTAGATATTTTCAATTTTTTTTTTTTTTGCCCAGCTATTACTAAACGTATGTTATAGAGAAGTAGTAGACGTTACTGGTTAGGGGATGGGAGAGAACGCTGGGTACACACAAGCTTTTCCAAAGAAGCAAGCAGTCCTTTAAGGAAGCTGAACCATCCTAACTTCTTATGAAATGGGGCATAAAGTTAATTGTTACTGCAACTCCCATTTCAACGCGGGTCTCAGCAACCACGAAGTATCTATTTGCTTACATACTGCAATATTCCAATTAGGAGTCTGCATCTATGTGACTAGAAAACCTGGCTGACCCAGTTTTCAGGGTCTTCGGGAAAACGTTTATTGCGTTCATTCTCCTGTAACAGAAATATGTTCAAGAGAGAAAAGGTGATTTGGAACATGTAGAGAACTGTCAGCAAAAGTCTGCCCATATTGGTCCTACCACTTAGATAGCAAATAGCTAATGCTTAGCCGAGCTCTTCGTCCAGGCTGGGCATTGTTGGCCATGCTTTCCTCGGTTAGAAACTTTAGTCCTCACAAAAAACCCAGCATGTAGGTTCTGTTTAATCCTAGTTTACTGATGGAGAAATCTAATCAAAGTGAACTTAAAACTTGCCCAATTCCAATAGCTACTCAATATCAAAGTCAAGTAGTATGGCACAGACTGACGGATCTCAGAGGGAAGATTGGGGGTGGGGTGGGGTGCAGAGAATAACAACAGAATTTATACGCACATATGCAAAATCTGTGGACACAGACAATGGTATGGTGAAGGCCTGGGCTAGGGAACAGTGGAGAACATCTGTAATACCTTCAACAATAAAGATAAATAAATTAAAAAATTAAAGTCAAGCCCTGGCCAGTTTGGCTCAGCGGTTAGAGTGTCGGCCTGCGGTCCGGAGAGACCCGGGTTCGGTTCCCGCTAAGGGCATGTACTTCGGTTGCGGTTTGTCCCCGGCCCTGGTTGGTCGTGCGGGTGGCAGCCACTCGATGTGTCCCTTCACGTCGATGTTTCTCTCTCTCTCTCTCCCTTCCTCTCTCTCTCCCTCCCACTCTATCTGTACAAAAAATGGAAAAATATCCTCGGGTGAGGATAAAAAAAAAAAAAAAAATTAAAGTCAAATAGTTACTAAAGTGGCAGAGCTGGGATTTAAACCCAGGCAGTTTGGATTCAGGTCTCACATCCTTCCTGCCTCTCCAAGTCGGGAACAGACAACTACCGTTAGCACTTCTGAGAGTTTCTTTCCAGAATGTTCCCACGCAGAGTTAAATATGTGGAAGTCACGAAAAATATACTTCCCTATATATGGTCATGATAAACTTCACTTCTATCTCATGATATCAGATCCAATGATTATAATAAATTTGACTTAATACTTCCTTTCTTGTTGAACACTTAGGTTGCTCAGCATTTTTCACTTTAATTTATTTATTTTAAATATTTTTTAATTGATTTTTTAGAGAGAAAGGAAGGGAGAGAAAGATAGGAACATCGATGTGAGAGAGAAACATCGATCACCTGCCTCCTGCTTGCTCCCCACTGGGGATTGAGCCCGCAACCCGGGCATGTGCCCTGACTGGGAATCAAACCAGGACCTCTCAGTCCATGGGATGATGCTCAATCCACTGAGCCACACCTGCTGGGCTGTTTACTTTGTTTTAAAATACTGAACTTTTCATCTTTTTGAATTTGGTTTGGGGTAAGGTATTGAATTCTGAGTTTCAGTGCACATAGGAATTATATAAGGCTCTGGTTATGTATAGCTCTTTCCTGCTTGTTCATATAAAGGCTAAGTCACAGTGAGATAAGTGCTTCATCTTATAACAAGTAAGTAAATCAATAAAGATTTATAAATTTTACTTTACTTCTAGTCAAATGTAATTTCACTGGAATTATGTTTTCTGGCCTCTATGTGAATGATTTTAAACTTTTGTCATTCGATTATAGCAGAAAAATATGCACAGTAAACACAGGAAACTTGTTTTGGTCATTTGGAATTTGAATATATCAAGCTATTAGAAATTTTCAATATCCTTCAAGTAACAATTTAACACCAGGTTTGGCTTTACAAGGTCATCTCTAAGTTGGCTGTTACTAGAAATGTATTTACTCATATACAAGAATATTTCCAAGGGTGAGTAGGATCCAGGCTAGTCCAGAAACCTATTTAAGTTATAATTGAGAACAAATGGATAGAATAGCTGCTCTACAAATGATACAGATTCTAGGATCAAGAGTCAAGTCAATGTCGATGAAGAAAGACACAATTCTTTCTAAATACTAAGGGTACTTGATCCCATCCCCCAAAGTCTAATCTCTGCCAACACGGACTCTCTTCCCCTCTCTACAACTGCACCTGCTGTATGTATCCAGCCTCTTTCTCTCCTTGGACGCTCCACACACCTTCTCTGCTCTTCCCCCATCAAACCCCACCTTTACTCAGTACAACCAAGTTTCATCTTGGTGTTAGGAGGGGAAAGTAAGCAAGCTCAGTGAATGGATTCTGGGCAACATGTGAATGACAAAGTCTCTTAACTCCCCAATCTGCCAAATAAACATCTAACAGAACAACAGCAAGACAGTCAAGGAGCCAGAGTCTTAAGAGGTGGTGATATATTTCTTCTGTTTTCTTCCAGTCAACAAGCAGGTCTTGCTTAGAAGTACAGCCCTGACATCCACGACTCTAGAATGTCTGTTTCTTTACATTCTCCAATGCGGAAACCACATTTTCTAAAAGCTCTTATTTATAGTAGGAACAACCGAGAAGACATCACTTATTTATAAGGGATAGTTTTAAGTCCAATGCTTTGAAGACAAGAGTTGTTTAGACTAATAAATATTGTTAATACTTTAAATCAGTTTGAACCCTGACTATGCTTTGGTCTGTTTACTGTCTCTGGGTTTACCAAGTGAGTCATGTCTACTCTTGGGACCATGGTGGGGAAGGGGAAAATTTACTGAGCTCATACTATGTGTTAACGGTGGTATGATGCTCATGGCAACTTTATGAAATAGAGATTATCATGTCTGTTTTCAAGACGAATACATGGATGCTCAGAAATTAGTGAGCTTGCTCCAGGTTACAGAGTAGTAAGCGGGAGACTGTCAACAAAGCCTCTGCTACCCTTTCATGCCTCTCCAACACAAACACACCGCGGCAGCCTGGGTCCTGAGAACCAGTCTCAGATGAGCCTGGCTCCTGGGACTTCGGTATCTCTAACCTCTAAACTAGGGATGCATTTGAGTAATAATCTTGGATCTGCTGGAGGGGTCCTGGAGGCACCCAGCACATCTTGGAACCCGTCACAGGTCCCCCATATGAGGACCTCATGGTTATTTGTACCAGGTCACTGTTGAAAAGAGTTACACTAAATCTCTTTTTATGGGACGATGTAACTAAACGTAGATACAATTTATTAATTGAAACAGCCCTCCTTTCCCCTCCACAGACACATTTGAACTCTTGGAAACCATCAGCAGCAAAGGTGGAAAGAACATTACAGAAAAACATGCTTCGGTCTCCGTGGGCAACGTCAGCAGCTACCAGTCTTCAGCACGTGCAAGACGCCAAGTCCGCACAGCACACTGCCTCACAGACACTGGGGCCGGGGCTAGGGATGCCCACCACTCACGGAGGAAGGGCCAGCGTCAATGAGAGGCCAGGAAAACTGCCGAAACCACACAGATGGTACTGGTGGGAGCTGTGCTCTCTGCAGAGAGGGCTCAGTCTGCTTCCCCACGGCCGGGGGGGGGGGGGGGGGGGGGTGCCCGAGGCCATGTTCACGCCCCTGCAGGCAGCTCCAGGCCCAGGCTCCACTCACATGCTGAACTCGGGCCTCTGGTTGCTCATCGTCATTTAAAGAGCCCAAGCGAA